TGTTTTTGGTCTGTGGGAGGAAACCGGAGTACCCGGAGAAAACCCACGCATGCACGGAGAGAACATACAAACTCCACCCAGAAAGGCCCCTGGACCGGGGTTTGAACCAAGGACCTGCTCGCTGAGAGGCAGCAGCTCTACCAGTTGCGCCACCATACTGCCCATTTACCGTTCATATGCTTCTTAATTATAACTATTAGGATCAGTTCCTCCAAATCCAAGGCCATGGTCTTGAGCTGGAAGAGTGCCCTCTACAGGTCGGGGAGGAGGTCCAGCCCCAAGTGGATGAGTTTAAGTATCTTGGGGTCTTGTTCATGAATGAGGGAAAAATGGAGCGAGAGATTGATAGGCGAATAGGTGCGGAATCTGCAGTGAAGAGGGCGCTGTACCGGTCTGTCGTGATGAAGAGAGAGCTGAGTCAAAAGGCGAAGCTCTCAATTTACCGGTCAATCTACATTCCTGCCCTCATCTATGGTCATGAGCTTTGGATTGTGACCAAAACAACGAGATCACCGATACAAGCTGCTGAAATGAGTTTTCTCCACAGGGTGTCTGAGCTCTCCCTTAGAGATAGGGTGAGAAGCTCAATCATCTGGGAGGGACTCAGAGTAGAGCCGCTGCTTTTCCATGTTGAGAGGAGCCAGTTAAGGTGGCTCGGGCATCTGGTTAAGAAGCCTCCGGGACCCCTCCCTGGTGAGGTGTTCCAGACACGTCCCACTGGGAGGAGACCCACAGACCCAGGACACACTGGAAGGACTATGTTTCTCGGCTGGCCTGAGAACACCTCGGAATTCATCCTGAGGAGCTGGCCCAAGTGGCTGGGGACAGGGACGTCTGGGCCTCCCTACTTAAGCTGCTGCCCCACGACCTGACCCCGGATAAGCGGAAGAAAATGGATGGATGGATGGATGGATGGATGGATGCTTCTTAAAGTTCGTTACAGTCAGCAACTCTGCATTAACTGTTGACAGCTTTTACTCTGTTACTGTCCCACATCTGCATCGCTGTGCACTCTGCACTCGTCTGGTTTTCACACAGACTCATGTTTCATGCAGCACACCATTAATCCCGCCCACTCCCATCTGATTGGGCAAAATAAAGTGCTTAATCTAATGCAAAACAAAACTGAACAAGATTGACACTTAGCACAACTCAAAGATAAGGTTGTGAAATTGCCTCATGGCACCATGTGCATCACTCCTCAAACAAAAGTTTATGTAACGTTCAAGGAACATAGTAAAAATGACAACTGCCTGTTTTGGTCTGCTTGAACTAAAATTTCTTGACCAAATATGAACTGTTTTTAAAATGATACATTTTTAAATGACAAAAGTGTTTTTATCTTTCATATTTATTCCACTTTTATCACTTAGACTTTTTTTTTTTTTTACTCAAATGATATTACTGTGAATTTAGTTTAACACAATTGGTACTATATAAACAGTTCAAACTGGCTACATGAAGGCAACAGACCAAGAAGTGATTTAAAGATGAAAATATACCTGTGTGAGTGTCTGTGTGAAGTTAAAGATGACCAATTGACCAGTGAATACAGGGTGCAGTGATGGGTATGGTAGTTACAGCCAGGTATGAATCAGTGCACTGTGGTAGACAGCGTCCATCATCTGCAAGGTAATTGTAGGAGCGTTCATGTAAATAATGTCACCATAATCAATAGAGGGGATGAATGTAGCAGTTACAAGGCATAGACAGGATCTATTTCTGAAAAAGAAGCAGTTTTACTTTCAATTTCTTTGCCAAGTTTTCAACATGAGGCTTAAAACAGAGACGCAAATCGACCAAGATACCCAAGTATTTGTAAGAATCGACAAATTCAATAGGGACACATTCTTAGATAAGATTGGAGGAAGGACTGCTGGTACTGACTTCCTGTTTGAAAACAACATCCCTTTGGTTTTATCTGCATTTAGCGCAAGTCTAAGATGGAACAAATCTGACTGGATGATGTCGAACGCAGACTGTAAAAGCTGGAAAACCTTAGCAACTGTTCTAGCTTGAACTTAATATTTAAGGTAAAGTACAAAAGTTCTCTTTAACACTTGTCAATTCAATTTTCTTACTCCTAGATGTTGCCATACACCAAAATGGAAGTGAGTACCTCACTTATTTTTCAAGTCATCATGCTCACAACATGCACGGACAGATTTAGGGTATTTACAATTTCCCCTCTTTGCTTTGTGACGGGGACAAAAGCTTGTGACGTGCAGTACTACTGTTTAATAATGTGATGATCATAAATTCATAATATATTGTGCAGTCCTTGAACTTCAAAACTAAACTGTGAAGCATTTGTAAAAAAAACAACAGCATGGTCAGTGTTGCCAGGTTGGGTAGTTTACCATCAATTGGGTGGTTTTCATTCTGATTTTGCTGGGAACTCTGGGAAAATTTTTGTTGGATTGTTGCGTTTTGCCACATATTGTTAAATTACCTTGGCTTGTACTGATCTGTGTTCATGTTCAAACAGTAAATATACTGTAACAATATACTGATTAGGCAGGTTTTTGTGTGATGTGGCAGATTTTAACAGATTTTTGGGCTGGAAACCTCGACACTAAATGGCAACAATGAACATGGTCATCAGAAGAATAAAAGTCCCTCAACAACCATTTGATTTACATTATTTATATTGTTATCTGAAATGTAACCTGTTATGAAGATGTTAGTTTCTCAGAAGTTTCTGATCCCGGGAGTTGCTTTAAAAACCTTCTTTATTGGAAATTTTCATCTAAACATGCAGCTGCTCTACAGCAGAATGGGACGTGGCCAAACGGACATATCACACATCACCTCACTGACAACTTTCGCAACGTTTTCTGTCCCACTGCTGCAGACTGTGGTGCATTCAGGAACATGTGTTAAGATCAGGGCATTTCAGTCTGCAGCAGAAATGGCTGAAGAAAAAGGATTAGAACAGTCATATTGTTTTTAGGTCAGTTCTAATTGAAAACGGATGAAATATTCATTTCTCTTACTTATGTGTCTGTAAATTAATTATTCTGACCTCATAAGAAATCTTTGATATTTCATCCAAAAACAATTTTATTTCTTGTTTAATGCTGAACTACTTTCAAGCTCCTGGTTTCCCCATCCTTCTAAAATCAGTTTTAACATTGTGTTTTATTATCTGAGCTCTGAAAAGTAATTTAGCTTCACTAAACATTGTTGCTTAATTTCTGACCCATTTGACAAATTAAAACTGGGGCAGAATAGATCTTGAATCTATAAAGAAAATAAAGACTAAATATTATAAATATGTTCACAAAGTTCAGCAATCAATGATGAATGGACACAGTTCAAGAAGATTATTTTGGATTTTGATATGAACGTTCCCAACGTCTCCTCTGCACCCCTGAAGACTGTTTGCTGCTCAAAGTTGCATCTAGCTTCAGATTTTCAGACCTCTCCACCACAGGATGTGTCTCTGTAGACCTCACTAACTGGAGCAGGAAAATGGAGCTCAACTGCACACGTTGGCATGCATTCACAATCTAGAGCAACCCTGAACGAGATGCTGAGCCCAAACACATCAGCGGGGTGAACCACGGGGGAACTTATGCTTGGCAGCCTGCAGAAGAGGGATTTGTGCTGTTTCACTGCGGCTGATCTCCTCTCAGATGAAGCCGGCTCAGTGGGGATGGAGAGAGTGACAAACCTCCTGACTGAACATGCATGGAGCCTGATTTACCGTTACCTCCCAGGTGAAGTCTTGTATTCAAATATATTTGGGATGGAAGTGGGCAGGTGACACATCTGCAGCCAGGTCTCCATGTTGGTGCAGAAAAAAACTGGCTGACGAAGCGCTGGAAACAGAAACGAGCAGAGCGCCAATGTCCCTCATCTCTAAGGGATTTGAACAGAAAATGTTTGTAGTTTTGGAGATGAGTGGGGTTTTTTTCTGGAATTGAACAGGGAGTGAAAGTAAACCTTAATGTTTTTGGTGCAAGATATTCAACTGAGAAGGAGTTACACTGTGGAGAAGAACAGACAGAGTTTGTTTTTCTTGTCCGAGGAAGCACATAGAGACGGATACTCAAGAGTGGAGACATTCACTACCAGATGCAATGGAGGAGCCAGGATGTGGCCATCGATGGCCTTAACCAGCATTGATTCATCTTCAACCACCCTGAGGGCCACCTCAATCATTTGAGGGAACTACTTTTAAGCAATATAAAAACAAGAAGGCATAGTTTTCTCAAATGATAGGGGTGGTCAGTTTACGTATATTTGACAGCAGCTATCTTGGATCTTGATGTGGCACCCAGATGAACGGACGGAGGGTATTTCTGATTCCCACTCTTCGCTCCGCGTTGGGAGACTCTAAAGGAGTGGGACTGGAATGAGCAAACCCAGCGTCTTTCAGCGCCACCATTAAAGAAGCAGTTTTCTCTGGAGTTTCCAGCTGAATTGTAATATTGGAGCTGTGATCAGCTGGACACTCAGCAGAAAACTGCATCTAGGGCTGTTTTGTGTTGCTCATCAGCTCCACACGCCTTCCTCCTGAACAGACCCTCCACTCAAGACGTGTCGTCATTTCTCGATGAAATGCCTCTGCTCTTCCCGAACCTGCTTGCTTCATTAAAACAGAAGCTTCAGGAGTGCAGTGGTGAAAATTCACTCTCCAACAGGGAGAGAGAGAGAGGGCATTGTAAATGTTTGATTGTTGCAGATGAAAACATGGAGAACAGTGCAGGTTTACCTTCTAGATCGTTCAGAACCAGCCCAAGCCTTTGCTCCTTCAGACCCTGTGAGCCCGGCTCATGTTAGCTGCCTGCAAGACAGCCGGGCCTCATTGTGTGATCGTGGGGGCAGCTGTTGAGCAGCGTGTCTCAGCCCAGCAGATGGTCAATATTCACCATGGGTCAGGATGAATCATTGCGGCCCTGCTGCAGAGCTCAGTTCAAACCCCGTCTCACAGTCATGTTCACTCGCTCTAATTCACTAACATCTTTTTCTCTTTTTGTTTCTCTTCTGGATAGATGAGGTCGACCCGTAAAGTTTCTGTGTGGCCCGTGGCCTTTGTGGGAGGCCTGAGATACGAGTCCCCCAAGGTCAATGCAGCAGGCAAGGTGTATGGATGGAAGACTGTGTTTGACCCTCACCGGCCCTTCGCCATCGATATGGCCGGCTTTGCCATCAACCTGAGGCTCATCCTCTTCAAACCGCAGGCGTACTTTAAGCTCCGGGGCGTGAAAGGAGGCTACCAGGAGAGCAGTCTGCTCCGGGAGCTCGTCACACTCAATGACCTGGAGCCAAAAGCAGCCAACTGCACCAAGGTTAGTTCGTAATTTAAAAAAAATTAATGTCATGAGTTCAAAGTTCATGCTCAATAATCCAGGTAAAAAAAATCCAACAAAGTTAGGTCAGGTCATCTGGACAGTTTCTTTTCTTGTTGAGATGTTTCATCCTTCATCCAAAGGACTTCATCAGTCTGAGGAGCTACAACAAACTCAGTCCCACAAGCAGCACACTCGCATAGTGGGGCCAACCAGTTTGCTGGTGATAAGATGGTTTCTGGGGCCAGCTCTCTCTCCAGTCGACTCCACCGAGGCAGTCATGGCCAAAGTGGTTCAAAACATCAAAGAAATGAAACGTCTCAACAAAAAAGAAACCGTCCAGATGACCTGACTTAACTTTGTTGGAAACTTCATGACTGCTAGTTTGTGAGAATAATGTTTAATCTGGAAATTATCTTTCTAAAAGAGGTGTAATAGTTCATTTTGTTTCACACACTTCATATTATTAAAAAAATATATCCTTTGACGAAAACAATTTTGAAATGAATTAACTAAAAAAGCGCCACCGTCAGTTTTATTAAAGTTTACAAACATGACGTTGGACAATGCAGGAAATACTGTTAGAAATGGACAAGAACAAGAAATGGAGGAGTTTGATCCCTTTTAGACAAAACAAGTAACATCTAACAGGTCTGTGGTAAGAGGAAAATCAATTAAAAATTATCTTACTGTATGCTTAATAAAGATGAAAAATATTGGTTTTTAGAGGGTTGTTTCAAGTTTGTTTTTCCAGATACAAAAGTTGCTGTCTTTTTATTTATTGATAGTTAGGCTCACCTTGGTGCACAGCATGCGCTCTGGAACTGATCTCCTTGATGGGTACTGGGCCTTATTCCACTCTGAACACAGTATGAGAAATGTCAAGTCAGTGGATTTATGAAGCACATTAAAACAGTTGTAACCAAAGTGCTGCACAACAACAACAACAGGTGTGCATGAATTTATTGGTACAGGTCAGTCTATTATTTTTTTTCCAATGGAATTTCTAAAGTTTTGCCACAAAAAAAAAAAAAAAAAAATATCTGCCTCCACAGAGACACCCACCAGCTTTTCCTGGGGGCTCACAAGGTGTTCCCAGGTCAGAGTAGATAGAAAAACCCTCCACAAAGTCGTGAGTCCACAGCTGTCCCAGGGACTCCTAGTGAGACAAGCCTCATAAACCACCAGGAGGCGTTCTTATCAGATGCCTCAGCTTCCTCTTATTGATGTGGTATAGTTTGAGCCCCCCTCTGCTCGATGATGGAGCTTCTCACCCAATTTCAACCACTTGCATCTGAGATCTGGTTGAAACAAAGACAGACCAGTAAATCGAGATCTTTGCAGCTAAACTCAGATTCTTCTTCACTTCGATTGACCGGAGCAAATAAACCCTGATTCATAGGTCTCTCTCCTGTTCCATCGTACTAGCGCTCATGAAGAAGACTCCCAGATGTTTGAACTCCTTTGCCTGAGTCAAAGACTCAGCATTCCAGCTGTTTCCTGTAAGAACTGTGGCCTCAGACACAGAGGAGCTGACGGGCTGCTTCACGTCACATTCAGCTGCAAACTAGAGGATGACTTGGGGGGGGGGGGGGGGGCAGGTCACAGGATTCCGACGGGACGGGAGTCAATTTTATTATTCTCACGTGATTGGGATGGGATGGGACGAAAAGTTAACGGGAGCAGACAGGAGCGAGAACCAACAAATAGGACAAAAAATAAATAAATGCCTATTTCACCACAGATGAACTGTTCCTGTTGCCATATCTTTTGAAATCAAACTGCAGAACATAAAATAATATAAAAAGGAAAGACTAGAAGATCAAATCAAATTCAATGCATTTCCTAAAGATTAAATGAAGGAAAAAAATGGGAGTGGTCCAGTAGCGGGAGTAATGTTCGCGGGAGTGGGATGGGACAAGATTTTTCTGTGGGATTGGGACGGGACAGGAGTGAAAATCCACTCCCGTGTCATCCTCTAACTGCAAACCTGAAGGTCACGCTTAAAAACACACACAAACACCTCGTCTGCAAAAAGCCTTTTATGTCATAAAGCTCCTAAATGGTTAGAAGAGGAGTATTGTTGCAGAAACTTTGAGCATCACTGATGAAATTTGTCTGAGTGAGTCCTCTCCAGAGTAGATCCAGGTCTCCTGCTCCCTGCTGTCAGTCTGTTTTCATCTCAGTCAGCAGACAGCATCACCACCAGCACTCAGACAAGAGAGAGAAAGAGACGGGCAGAAAAGGCAGAAGAAGGGATGTACTTTCAGCCAGGTTTTTATCCTGCACCCCCTCCTCCTCCTGCTGCCATTCACAGGGCTAAATGAAAAGAGGGGATTCAGGGAACCGAGCTGAATTGGACTTGGTGGAGGGGGAGAGCAGGGGAGACGTCACACTGATTACAGATGAGTGCAGGAGCAGACAGGAGGCTGGTCGGGACGCAGGAAGAACAAAAACGGAGAGTCGTGTTTGTGGATCTCTCTTCCTGATAACCTACTGCTCCCCCCTTCTACCCACACACACATTACACCTGAGCAGAATAAAGGTGGGAGTGGGCTCCTGGCACGTCATGCATAATTCATGATGGCTGCCGAGGCGAGCTGAAAGGAAGGAGAGAACGGCATCGAGGAGAGTGGAAGGGGAACGAGCGTGACCCTTTTAGTTTGTTTCCCTCGCCGTCGTTTACTGCGTGTTGGTTCCGTCTCTCGGGCTGAACCGAGCCAGCATGAAGGCTTCAGAGAATACAACAGAACAATAACACGTCCAAAAGAACAACATAAAGACGTGTAGCGCTGCCGTAAACCTGCAGGAGCTGCACTCAGGCCAGGCTGACGGGCTGGAAGGAAACACTCCGTCTAATGCAGCGCTTCACGCTCAACTAGCTCTTTACATGTAGACGGGCCCCGCGGTGCAAAATGGACCAGCGGAGCCACATTAAGAACTGGCTGTTTTTGAAGCACATGATGGGGGGGAGGGGGGGAGGATGCATTAAAGCGGCATGCTACTAATGCTGCTGCTGTTTGTGTTTCCACGCTGCTTTCTCCACAGATCCTCGTCTGGCACACAAGAACAGAGAAACCCGTCCTTGTGAACGAAGGGAAGAAAGGATTCACAGACCCCAACATCGAGATCTGACCACGTCCTTTTCAAACGATGGTAAATAACAAATCTGAAGAGGCTGCTATGATGGAGCACAACCCTTCATCTATTATGTTCTTGGTTCAGAAGGTGGGGGTTACTGCCTGCTGTCTGACATGGTTAGCCTGTTTTTAACATTTCCTCATAAGCCAAACAGTCGTTTCTAATTTTCTTTTGTTAAAGCACAATTACAACAGCTGTTGTCCATTATTAAGGCAATAAACAGGCTTAGAAAGAACATTAAGGCTAATTTCAGTTCATTAAAACTGTTTTAATCTGTTCTGCTGCAGGTGGTTGGCCTCTGATCTGCGACGGGAGAAAAAAATCAACTTCCCCTAAGATGTGCAATCATGTCTTAATCGTAAGAAAAAAACCCTAAAAGGGTTGAAAGTAGGATTTAATCCTCGCCATTTTTTTTTCTAATATGGACCAAAACAGGACGCGAGTCTTTTAAAGCACAGACAGAGGCTGCAGAGCAAAGAGGGCGACGTAACGGGTCCCTCGTAGGGTTTCTGTGGACAGTCGTGACCTGCACCTCCCACTGAGCGATGAACCGGAGACCCAGGAAGAGAGACAGCACACGTGAACAAACATACAACCAGCAGATCCAAACAGGTTCTTTCACCTCTAATTTAAAGACAAAGGTCCAGATCTGCGCATGAAGAACTCCACTTGAAGACGTGGTCGTCAGCACTGGACACAAACGGGACAGAGGAGGCGTTCTTTTGACTACCATGAAACGTTTGCTGTAATTTAACTTGTTTTATGAACACTTGTACTACTAGTTCACTGACTCGTACCTTCATCTACTTACCATTGTCCATCAACGTCCATTTTCACTCAAAGAGAACCTCCCCCATGTGTCTGGAAATTCAGCTGAAATGTTGTAAAAACATCATTTTAGCTGTTTAAACTCACGGGGCTTCTTAAATAACTTGGTAGAACCAGGACTGAAGGCGGAACGCGTCTGTTTCCACAGGTGTGACACAGGTCCAGTCCAGGTTAGACCCACAGAATGAACGGAGTTTGTGACGAAAATTACGACAACTTAAAGGGAGGGTTCAGATCTTTTAGAGTAGAGGTCGTGTTGCAGGTAGCTCTTTGAACAACCAGCTAACAACTGGTCCCAGAAGAACCAAGGCCGAGGTGGAGTCCTGCTGTCTGGCTCAGAGCTGGCTGCTCCTCTGTTACCTGTACTCGAGGAGGATCCTGTATTAATACATGTGTAATGCAATATTAGTAGTGACGTAAAGATTTATCAAACAGCATTTGCATGAGCTGCTATAAAACGTTTTGAACTGGATTCACTGCGGTCTTCGCTGCCTTCCTGAGAGGTGTTCGCTCAATAATCCAGTCAGATTAAACTGTAATCTCTACAGTGAGGTCGTTCAAAGAGCTATCTACAACAGGTAAGATAGTTATGGTTCAGAACAAGCTGGTATGAGCCTACATTTAACGGTTTATTCTGTTTAAAAAAAAACCACTAAACTTTCTAAATGTTTAAATGGTACTGATTAGGAATAAATGTTTGTTTCTAAACAAAAACGATGAGTCAGAGGGATGAAGAAGCTGCAGAGAAAAGCTTGGAGTTAGAGCCCATAACAATATTATATTATTTATTTTAAACTTGAGCTTCCACGTGTTGAATTAGATAATACATTCATGTGTAAAGTGACTCCAGGAAAGGAAAAGCACAATAAAATAAAACGGGTATCAAAGTAACGCCAGTTAGATCAGCGCAGATGATACGTCAGAACAAATAAGGATCACTTTTACCAAATTACTCTACATCTCAGAGTATATAATACTCCAGCCTCTGCCTGATAAACCACGAGTCGTTCACAGAAAACTGCAGGACGTTGCACGGAGCAGTTCACCGACATCACCAGCTCGTATTTATTATCCAATATGATTATTTATATATTTATTTTGTGCAATCGAATCACAGCAGCTGTTTGTTTCTCAGCTATCTAAAACAGCACATTGACATGCAGAACTGGGCCCACGGGTCGGTGCAGTTCTGCTTCAGAGGATTTCATCGTGTTGAGAGAATCAACCCAGAGGTGCAGTATTCTGTCTGAATAAGTCAGTATGTATAAATAAATCTATTTTAATCAACAGCATTAAAGCATTTTGCACTTAGTGAATCTAAATTATCGGTTTCGTCTTGTTAAAGTTGATCCGGTCAAACTGATGATCAATGTGTGTCAGGACGGGTTGAACAGGAGTCTGTGATTTGTCCTTCAGCAGCTGAACTAGTCAACAAAACAACTCCATCCTCCTTCAGTCTGAAATTATGTCCAACAGAAACAAGCTCCACCTTCACCCTCCACCCTCAGCTAAACGAGCCTCACCCTCTGAGGGGAGCTTTAAGGCACAACACACTTCTCATCGAAACTCTGTTCCTCATCTCCACCTTCATCCTTCACACTCACCATCCTCACCCTCACCATTCGATGCATGCGACTCTTAAGGTTGTTTATTTGCCACAGCGATTCTGTCTCAGAGAAAAATGTTAGGTAAATAAAGAGAAATAAAAACCTGAAAAGAACCTGACGTCTCCTGGAGTTGTTGTGTTTTGAATGTTTTTACCCGAGTGTGTGTTTTCACCCGAGTCTGAGCATTTTAACCTGAGGGTGTTTTTACACAACTGTTTTAGCTGAGCATGTTTTATCTGAGCGCGTTTTTATGAGTCTGAGTGTTTTTACCTCAGTGTTTTTACATGAGTGTTTTTAGTTGAGCGTGTTACCTGAGCGTGTTTTTACAAGTCTGAGTGTTTTTACCTCAGTGTTTATACCTCAGTGTTTTTACAAGTGTTTTAAGTTGAGCGTGTTTTATCTGAGCGTGTTTTTAACCTAAGCATGTTATTACGAGTGAGTTTTTACCAAAGCGTTTTTTTGTTTCGTTTTTTTTTTACCTGAAAGTCAGTGTTTTTACCCGAGTGTTTTACCTGAGCCTGTGTTTTTACCCGAGTTGGAACCTTTTTACTGGAGTGTGAGTGTTTTTATCCGAGTGTTTTTTTGTTTTTACCTGAAAGTCAGTGTTTTTACCTGAGTGGTTTACCTGAGTCTGTGGTTTTACCCGAGTCTGAGTCTTTTTACTGGAGTGTGAGTGTTTTTACATGAGTGAGTGTTTT